TGTATGTGTGTGTTTGTGGGTGTGTGTGTGTGTTTGTGGGTGGATAGGTGGGTGGGTGGGTGTGAGCGTGTGTGTGTGATGTGTGTGTATATATATATAAATGTTAGTGTATATGGCTTTTTGTCCAGTGAAGTATGTGGGATATCTGCAAGCGTCAGGGCGGATAGTTGAATTTTTTTTAGATTCGTCGGAGCTTGTATTCAATCCACAATTGGCGTACGTATGGACGGGCGACCTTCAAGGTCCTTGGTTTTATTTAGCTGATCCCGAATTAATTTTATTACTGTGCCACCGAACCTTCTTAAGATCATGCGTACGCCGTTTCAAGCATTATATAAACAATCAAAGGGTAGCTCTATCTTCTAATCTCGGCACAGCCTCACAGACTACGGTGCTCGAACATCACTTTGAGTACATTCACGTGAGATTTTCAATGCATACTCAAAGCAACCCCTCGCTTATCGTCGTCACAGATTAAGTGGCGCTTGAGTGACCAACCATATAACCCCCAACTTGATGACGAGGAATTAGAAGGTAAGAAATCAAGCGCGAGTCTGAAGTTGGCCCCTCCGCTGCTTTTGATTCTTGTTGCATGAGCTTCTTCAGTGCGTTGTTTTATGATCAATTGGTGGTCTGAAGGACAGAAACGCGACAAATTATCAGCTTACACCCGAAATTGTGCGATACCGCTCAGCAGCGACCATTGTTTTAAAATCAGTGATTTCTGTGAGTCAGTTTGGTACGTCACGGCGCTTGTTGGTCAAATAATTAGGTGTTACGGCACTTGACTGTCCCCAAATTGGGCCATGAAATATTTTGAAACAATCTGACTTGCTCTCTCCAGATATAAAGCTTCGAGAACAGGTGCGGTGCACTATCTTCCTGGGATTCACATCCAATCTGATATCCAGTGGAGTGCGAGAGACCTTGTGCTACCTCACCAGGAACAAAATGGTCGATGCCATGGTGTCGTCGGCTGGCGGCGTTGAAGAAGACTTCATCAAATGTCTCGCACCGACTTATGTAGGGGACTTCCACCTGAAAGGCAGAGTATGTAGCCATACAGTGCAGTGCAGTATTTGTATATATGAGCGTTCGAGTTCTAATGGGATTCGTTTATTGTGCTGTGCGTATGTATCGGTGTAGCACATATATAAAATACTTTTTAAGAATACAATTGCTCGTTTAGCTCAATACATAGCTTTGTGCTTTGAGAAGGGCAAAATTTCTAAGTTTATACTTATTTTTTTCAACTTTTCATGTATATTGCTGGTAATGATAGGACTTGCGGTTGAAAGGACAAAACAGAATCGGAAACCTGATCGTGCCGAATGAGAATTATTGTAAGTTTGAGGACTGGATGATGCCTATCCTCGACAAGCTACTAGAAGAACAAGAGTCTCAGGTAAGACAATCGAATGAGGATCCACGGAATTCACTTCATACAAGCTGGTATATACATCAAACTGCTTGTACGATTCAGCACATATTTTATTCAATACGGATCAAAGAAGTTTGTTTCTGAATACACCATGGATGCGATTGTGAACGTACGTGTCGCATGGTTCTGATTTCCCTATCGTTTTGGTCCACAAGTGGTTTCTTACCGGCACGTACAGGCATGTTCAGGCATCCAATGATTTTTAGTCCCTAGACAAATGTCTTCAGGATATCGAACCTGTAAAAGGTTAAACTAGACAGCTCGTAAATCGCGATGATTGTATGCAATTCGTTCTGACGGGCCAGCACTAATGGACATATCCATTGCTCCTGTATTTCACTTCACAGGGCATCAATTGGACCCCTTCCAAAATAATTCACCGTCTTGGTAAGGAAATCAACCACCCGGAGTCGGTGTACTACTGGGCATACCGAAATAGCATACCGGTATTCTGTCCGGCCCTGACAGATGGGAGTCTTGGTGACATGATATACTTCCACTCATACAAAAATCCTGGACTAAGGGTGGATATTGCAGAGGATATCCGAGGCATAAACTCCATCGCCGTCAAGGCCAAGCAATCCGGTATGATCATTCTGGGCGGTGGTGTGGTGAAACATCACATCTGCAATGCCAATCTGATGCGCAATGGGGCGGACTACTCTGTCTTCATCAACACCGGAAACGACTTCGACGGCAGCGATGCGGTACGTGTTAAGTCTAGTGCGATGGCATTCGTTCAGCTCTGGGGTCGAGTTCTTGCTTAGTATTAATTGCGAGCTCACTCTGCGCATGTGCGGTAATTCTTGTGGATAATTTGCCGAATGTGTGTGTTTTTTAAGAGTTTTGGACCTCGTAGGCACATTTTCAGGTATTCAAATTCCACTAGGTCTAAAATATTGTCCTCATTCGTATTGTAGGGTGCTAAGCCGGACGAAGCTATCTCCTGGGGAAAAATCAAAATAGACGCCAAACCAGTGAAGGTATGTGATGTTACTCACATTTTTGATATCTTAACTATACTTGGGTATAAACTTTATCGAGGCCTTTTGATGAAACTCGTCTGCATTGTGCATCGATAATAGTGTCACGCCTATGCATATTGTGTCTGTTGTATTGACACATACGTCGCAACACGTTGAGCGAAAAGAATTGTTTCACACTATGACCTCGATGCATCAAGATACAATTAATCGTTTTGAATTTCTTCTGTGTTTGTACACATCTATTTTGCTCTAATTTTCCGGGCGGCAATGTCCTCTAATATGATTTCACACGTGTACTAAGCATCTCTTATTCTCATTCCACAATTACCGATAACTCCCTGAGTGAAGGTTACTGCGGAGGCTACCCTGGTATTCCCCCTTCTCGTGGCTGAAACTTTCAAACAACATTGGGAGCCGAAGGCAGACGTGTATAAAGAGTAAGCACTTATGCTATGGTTTTAAAGCATTTGATTTAAAAACTCCCGTGCGTGTTTAGTGCACGTACCCGTACTACCGGAGAACGAGGCCAGATGACTCTTCAGAAGGCTGTACAGCGATGTCGCCCGGTCTTCGACTGTGTGAATAGCAATGCATTCGTCGGTATTCATAGTCACTTCGAGTAAAAGTCTTGCGTAGTGATTTGCACCACGCACAATACAGCAAACCGTACAGAAGATATCTTATTTATATGCGAGACTTAATTGTGAGCGATGGCATACAATCGTGACCGTGTGCATACTAGATAGAATTGCTTTGATGAGATAGGGTTTCGGTTCGCCTCCATACGAGACTATTGATTCGTTACGTAGACATTGTAGCTACCTATAGTCAAGGCCAAAGTATGGCATTTCAGACGCCCCATCGACATCCACACTTGCCCTGCGCGAACAATAAATATGCTTCAATTATTGCATCTCGCACTACTTGACTCAGGTTGGCTGAAAGGTTTGGACGCAAGTAGTAATTGCAGTAACTGCCCCATAAGTAAGCTTCTTCGCACAGGGGAATAAGCAATTTGATTCATATTGTAACGCACAACATGAATCTCTGACAGCCCCGAAATATTAGATGCTGTCGTCTGCAAGCCATCACTTCGACGATGTCGAATGTCTATGAATTGCTTGTTAAAAGTATATGTCTACCGCGGAATCGACCTAAAGCCGATAGTATATTGTAGATAGTGCCCTATTATAGAGTTGAACCGAGGCTAAAGGAGAGCATCTAACTGTTCGCAGGCGGTGGCCACCTTTGTATATGTTATGCGCTCTTTAAAGTGCGCGTTACCGGTGAGCATGGCTGAACATTGCTTGCCTGTATCATCTCGAAACAGCAGAATCACTCGCTTCCTTATCTTCTCCGCAATACCAAGCTCATATCCAACTCCTGAGGTGGTTGAACGAAACACTATAACTTAGGTTTTAGAGTTTTTAGGGCATGTGTGCAACTCAAAACGATACAGTCGTGATCCTGATGCTGCAAATTAGTCTCACAGCAGCGTATGTCATCATACAGGTGTAAATTCTGATCGTTTATAACACTCAAATATGAATCACTCCCGGTGCATGCGATCATGATTACTTTATATATATATTCAAATAGCTTTATGTGTGTTCGAATAGATATATACACGAATATATCTACATATATATCTATACATATA